TAGCAAATATTTGAATATATTGGATAGTTTTCCAATATATCATCTCTTGCTGCTATCCTGATTCCTTCCGAGTGCGATGTTCAATCTCTCTACTTCCGGGCAGAGAGTATCCCCAGACGAGGCTATGCCGAAGGGCAGAGTCTCGTCTAGGGGAAACAGCTAATCAACCCCGTTTTTTTACGTGGTCTACGGGGAATTTTTGGCCGAGCCTACGAGCTCATCACCCACCGCTCATAAACTCGGCCTCGTGCAACATCCGACCACGTGGGGTTGTTAGTGAATATCATTAAACCTTGCTGCTTTATTATTAATAATATCAGTTTTATTATTATTCTTGATTCTGCGGGTAAGCATGTATTGGGTATACACTTGAGTCTATTCGTAAACATTTGTCTTGTTTATAGTTAATAGACAAACATCTGTTGTGTTTATATATTTGAATCTATATGAAAATATTGGACAGATATATACGTGACTGTATGTAAACATTGGTTGGATTTATAGAAGCATCCATCTAGAAGTTGAGCCTATTTGTGGGATGTTTTACCCCTCTGTAGAAAAAAAAAGAACTCAGCTTATTGTAGGCTTCACCGACGAGGCTGGACGAAAAGAAATTCGTCAGTCTGTTTTCTTCTAGACGCTTCGTCTTCGTGTAATGGTTAGCGAATTGGAATTGTAAATCGATAGTAGTAAATTCGTTCCTTAATAGTTACTGTATACGCGTTGCTTTCTGACCGAACTAAACTGAGTAAATAATAGTATATTGACTATTTCAAACGTAGAAAGTATTTCTAATAAAAATTCAGTCGAATTTTATGCAAATGATTACAGGTTACGTTTGAATTGTTTAAAGAGAAACTTTCACTAGTTCCCGTTATATTTGTATTCCAAGATATTCACATCATTCCTAATTGTCATTTTTTTCATTATTTTTTCTCTTTGTCTGTATATATTTCTGAGATGAGGTATTATGTACATTATTTACATTATTCGGACTATTGCCCTCATCTTTGTCGCCATGTTTATCACAACGTTTCGGCCGTTGTACGCTCCGGCATTCTTCAGGTGGTTGGAATGTCGAACTGAACCCTTTATTACGCTCACTAGGGTAGACTGTTCTAGTTCCACGTACCATGTTTGATGGATGTCAGTTATCAGTTATCCTGCTAATTTCCCTCTGAAAGTTCTCCACTGAGATACCTTAACCGGGTATTGAACTCACACTCTTTGGATGCTGTCACCGGATCTAACCAACGCCTTTATCCACTGTGCCATGTGTCCTTTTCTCTTTCTTGCTTGTTCCTTTTCTCATATTTTTCGCGCTTCTCTCTCTCTCTCTTCTCTTTCTCTCTCTCTCTCTCTCTCTCATTCTCGCTGTTCTTCTTACTTTCTCTTCTCTCAATATCTCTTTTCTCTTTATATTCTCTATTCATTATTTTCTTTCCTTACCTTTACAGCTTATTTCATTTTCGTTTCTTCTAAACGTCTCTCTTTTTTTCATTGCTTCTTTAATTCATATTGTCATCTGCGTTTTAATTTCTTGTTTTTTCTTTATTTTCTTTCTTTTTTCCCTCTTCTCTTCATTCTTTTCCTTTCGTTTCTTTTAGTGGTTACCTATCTTACTTTCTTTTCTTTTTCTTTTCTTTTTCTTTTCTTTTCCGTCTATTTATACACTACACATTTTTCTTTTCTTTCTCTATCTTTCTTTCTTTTTTTTTCTCAGACGTTGATTCTTTTCTTTCTCTTCTCACTGTTACTTTCTATCTATTACTTCTCTACGATTTTTATAATCTTTCCTATTTTCATGCATCTTGTATTTTTCCTAATTTCTATTTTCTCACTGTCACATTCTTCTTCGTATATTATTCTTCCTTTCTTTCGTTTCTAATTTTTTTCTTTATCCTCATCATACTTGTTTCTTTCTTTTTTTCTTTTCTTCAATCATTTCTCTCATTTTCAACTTTAAATTTCATTCTTCATTTATTTATTTCATTCATTCTTTCGGTCTTTCCTTCTTTCTTTCATTCTTTCTTTCCATTTCCCTTATCTTCAACTTTACAGTTCTTTCTTTCTTTCTTTCTTTCTTACCATTTCTTTTTGTATTATTTATTCTCGTTTTACTTCTTTTTTTTTTTAGTTATTATCACCAGCTTTAAAAAAAATCCCCACAATTTTTCTTCTCATAGAAAATATTTATTTATTTATTATCTTTCTATATTTCTTTTTTTTTCTTTATGTACATATCTGTCCCCCCCTTATCTCATCTCTTAGTGTTCGTCTGTCTCCTTTGTTTCTGCTCTCGCATTTGATTTCTTTCTTTATTTCTTTCTTTCTTTCTTTCTTTCTTTCTATGTCTTCCTATTTCGATCTATTTTATTTTCTTACTATTATTGCTCTTTTTGTGTTAATTTTTCCGTTTACCTTTTTTCATGTAAATTTTGTCTCTCTGCCTTTCTTTCTTTCTTTCTTTCTTTGTGTATTTCTTTCTTTCTGTATTTTCCACTTTTGATCTATTTTATTTTCTTACTATTATTACTCTTTTTGTGTTATTTTTTACGTTTACCTTTTTCATGTAAGTTTTCTTTCTTTCTTTTTCTCCTTCTTTCTTTCTCGTTCTCTTTCTTTCTTTCTTTCTTTCTGTTCGTCTGTCTTATTACACTGTTACTTTCTTTATTCTCACACCTTCTTTTTTTTCTTTCTTTCGTTCCACTGTAACTTCATATTCTAAAGATTTCTTTCTTTCAAAAACTAGCAATTGATTCAATATGACCTAGCAATTGATTCTATAATATCAAGACCTAGGAACAAATTCAATATAATCAAGACCTAGTAATTGATTCAATATAATCAAGACGTAGCATTTGATTCAATATAATCGAGACTTAGCAAATGATTCAATATAATCGAGACATATGGTATTTGAGAGCAAGAAAGCAGAAGTGAAGCCTTTGCATCTTGGCAAAGCCCACACTTCGTCGAAAACTATGAACTGGTGCTATAGAATCACAAACAAGGAACTGTAGCAAATAACCCACGTCAGTTGAGAAATTTCAACAGCAGTAACAGCTAAAATGGATATCACATGGAAGTCGAAGAGGAAATAATGACATAATCATAATGTCGATGCTTCACACTACTTAAAACAACAGGTTAGGTGGAAAACCCAGTCAGTACTGGAAAGAGCGATAACAGCTACTGGACTTCAGAAACGTATTTTCCTGAAAAAGAAATATGAACGAAGGAAAGATTTTTAAAATGTTAATGTCTGACTGCTTGAAATTTTAAAAATCTTTCTCTCGAAACAATTTTTTTTAGGAAAATAGGCTTATTATGAATGTTGCCTTATAAAGAAACGGCTGATATTAGCATTACCGTCGTTATGTCCTCACTCCATCCTAATCTAAAGTCATTATAAATCTAGTGCGCTCGAATAGTTGTATAATGGCTACTCAAATTGTCTTGCAGATCATTAATCCAAAAGAGTGAATTCTTTGCTTGCAAAACGAAAAGAAAGAAAAACAAGTAAAACAATGAAAATGAAGCCACACAACAAAACAATTCTTATCAAAGAGGTACATTGACATTTTCTGAAATGGACTTTGCTTTTTTCATACTTAGCCCAACTATTAACGTTCTCCGTTTCCGACAGGCCATTGATCGTTTTCTTTTGTCTGTGTCATAATTTAAATGCCTACAAGTACATTTTCATAATAAAACACTACTTTGCGTTTTTGGTTTGGGTTTTTATATATATTCGCTAAAGGACGCGGCGAGCAATCAATCCTCTCTCGATTTTCTTCCTATTCACCATCACTTGCCAATTCCAATACAATTACAAATAAAGCCTAGTATGACACAAGGTTACAATAAATAGCGCAAACCGTCTAAACCTTACTCTCCTTTCCGTATTCTATCGCTATTTACATGGCTTATGTTCCAACGAGCTACTTTCCTTAGTTCCACCACTTCAGACCTCTATAGCTTCAACCCGCCAGGTGACATATATAATGTTGATCCACTTGCATTCACACTTTATTCCATTTGTAAGGAGGAAGTTCTGCCAGCAAGTTCTGCCAGCAAGTTCTGCCTAGAACTGCCACGCTGTGGGTGCTTCCCTGATCACTACGATCATAACCTCTAATGTCCACCGTTATCTATCCTACATATCCTCATATCATGCACTATTTATTTCCTTCTTTACGCCCATAAAATTCAGTAAACCTCTACATATGGTGTGCATCCAATGAAGATAACAAAGTCTAATATATACTATTTACATTATTCTGACTATTGTCCTCATCTTTGTCGCCATATGTATCACAACGTTTCGGCCGTTGTACGCTCCGGCCTTCTTCAGGTGGTTGGAATGTCGAACTGAACCCTTTATTTCGTTCACTAGGGTAGACTGTTCTAGTTCCATGTGGCGTATTTTTTTTAATGGCGACAAAGATGAGGACAATAGTCCGAATAATATAAATAGTGTACATAATACTTTATCTCAGAAATATAGACAGATACTGAAGGGCCGAAACGTTGTAATAAATATGGCGACAAAGATGAGAACAATAGTGTGAATAATATAAATAGTGTACCTCATCTCAAAAATATAGACAGATACTGAAAGTCTAATATTTTATGTGCCGTACCTCTTCATGATGTAAACAACCACAACTTCCTATGATTTGCAATTCATCATTATTCCCTCCATTTTGCACTTGTCTGTTATCATTGACGGGCATGCTTCTTCACTTGATCTCTTCCTTACCTCAACCCCGGACTCATGTCGTGCTCTACAGCTCTGTCCTCTTGGTTTACTCCTTCCTCGCGGTAGTGCATATATATATATATATATATATATATATATATATATATATATATATATATATATATATATCTCCCATCAGGCAAGAACCCTTTATTAACAAAACATCTTTCTGTTATCAACGCACTCACAAGGACTCCTTTGCATTCCTTTTGGTATTATATTTTTAATCACCTTGTTGAGAAGTGTGCAACTGAGGTCTCCTCCTGGGTGAAAGCCAACATCGAAGATTTCATGCCAGAACATAACTACCAAAAATCTTCTGAAATCAAAATCTGATAAATACCAAAGATCTTCTGAGGCGAAAATCTTCCACTTGGTTCTCTCCTGTTTGTTCAGCAGCTATAGCCCACAGGAATCACTTCTCCCGACTATACCAGAACAACTTATCTGATTGTAACAGACGTCTCTTTGTCACATCTCGTAATGAAAGTGTTGTGAAGGAGAATATTTCCCTACAAGTTTGGAGTCGGACGAAAGTCATGAAAATGCTCCTACATCAAGAGGAGTAACAGCAGGAGCAGTAGGAGAAGGAGCATTATAAGCAGTAGCTTTTGCTGAAAACAGTCATTCACGGCTGAACATTCTCTTCTCTAGTTTCTATTCTACATTATCGTTCCCCGTACAAAAAGGTTATAAACTTGTTGATAGAGTAATTCCGGTTTTCTACTGTTGTTTTTGATAACTCCGTTAAAACAGAAAGTAAGAGTTTTCTCGCAGAGACGAATTCATTGTTAGCTGATAGAATACAACAGTGTTCTGAACAAGAGTAAATTTGAAGCGTTGTCTTCTACTGCAGATAAAACAGAGTGCTATTCTCGGCAACTTTCTTCCAACTATATTCTCTACTCTTCTAGAGCATCTGCTTGATTCTCCAAATAGAACAAAGCCTCTACTGGTATGCACGTTATTTCTGCTGTCTTTTCTATCTTAAATGGTATTTATCAATCCACCCACGGGGATCGAATGTGGCACAAGGCCTTTTTAATGTGGGTATCTCTGAGCCCGTAGGCCCTGCCAAAAATAAATAACCATCCAAACTCGCCGAATCGGGCCAGTTCCGTCAACCTCCCCCAACAAAACCCTACCCTTCGGCAGAGCTTCGTCCGGGTTCCTCTCTGCAAGCAGAGAGTTCGACAGACACCCGACCCGGCAGCTCACAAAGCGCAGATACTACACTTTGATCCTAGCCACTGGGCCGAGCGGGTATTCTTTTTATAGATACTATACTTTTTATAGATTTCTATCTTAGATGCCCACAAGTCTTGCGAATTCGACAATATCCCTGCAATCGCCCTAAAAAATTGAGCTACTGAACTGGATCCTGTTCCCTCTAAAGTGCGCAATAAATACTTTGTTATCTCATACTTGCCAGTTTGTTCGAAGACCGCTTCATTAGTTCCGGTTTTTAAGAACTCTGAATGGTCATCTTACTCCTCGAATTAGCTCCGTATTAGTCTCATGACACTTTTTGGCAAAGTACTATAATCAACGCTCAATTGATTAAACATCTTACTTCACACGACATTGTTTCAGATAAACAATATCGCTTCCGTTTCTCCACGTCTACCGCCGATGCCTTAACGGTCATCACGGAATTTGTCTATAAAGCTTTAGATCAGAAAGGCGAAACTCAGACTGTGGTTTGGATATTTCAAAGGCATGCTACAGGGTGTTTCATACTGGCTTTCTCCACAAGGTCACATGCAACGGTACCTCCGGACCGCTATCCTCGGACGTACGTTTGTTCTGACCTTCCCATTGTCATCACTTCCCATCTCGGTATTTGTGCAGATGCCATAACTATTTACTTTCTTTCTCAGTAGCAAGTCCGGCAGATCCGACAAAGTAAAACTGGCAACTGCTCTCAAAAGGTTCCTCTAATCAGTGGCCAACTGTGTCTAGGAATGGCTTGTAAATTTGAATACTTTTCCACTGACATGAAGTTGTGCGATTATATTGACTTATTTGCTAGGTCTCCGACTATGAAACATGGTTCACCCTTTCATACTAGTCAATTCTTCCCGTCAGAAGTATCCATCTTGTACATCTTTATACCCGCCATTTGTACTTGCATTGAATACGCTTGCCATATCTGATCCGGTGCTCCTGCTGCACATCTCGACATTCTTAACAAAATCTAACGAGGCGTTTGTGATTTAATCGATCCTATCCCGGTATCTCAACTCCAGTCACTTTATCACCGACGTGACTTTGCTTCCCTCTGTCTTTTCTACAAATATACAACTACTCTGATGAGCTTTATTCATGGCGGCGTGCCTACATGCATTTAAACGTACTACTAGATTGGCAATTAGGTCTCGCCTTTTTGCTGTTGACCTAGCTCGATGCAACCGCCACTTCTACAGTTTCTTTTCTCGGGTTTCCCTCCCGCGGTAATTCAACGTCAATCGCCACCGTCTTTCTTCTTAAACCTGATCGATTTTTCTCCTTTTCTTAATCCTCCCCATTCTCAAAATTTTCATTCTTTTTTCTCTTTAAATTATTAGATATTTCCGCCATATCAGGTCTGGTGCTTCTAATATATATCCGGAGATTCTTGACAAAATTCAAAAAAGGGTCTGTAACATAATAGATCCTGACCTGGCTTTTCAACTTCAGTCACACTCACACCGACGTGACGTGGCTTACCTCTGTCAAATATTTTCATGGCAATTGTTCTCATGAGTTGCTTTGAAAAAAATACGAAAAGAAATTTGGTACCTTTCATACATATTGATAAGTGAAGTGTGATATCATAACATCTTTAAGTAGAAGCTCTATTTGACTAATTCAGCTTTATAATAATGGATGGTTATGAACGAGAAGAAAGATTTGATGTAGTTATTGTATTAACACATGAAAAAGAAACCTATTTTGATGTTATTTGACTGGTGCGAAATTCTTCAGGTACGATGTTTTGCAATGTGTGCATGACATTATAACAACGTTCGAGATGAGTGGTAAATTTAGAATCAGTTTAACGTCGCCACAACGATACATATCGCAAATCCAAAAGCCATAATAATTTTAACCATACAAGAATATTCTGATTGCCAGGTTAATTTTGCTTACTACGGCTCAAGGACACAAATATTGGATATCTAAGTAGGACAGATCTCTGTTCATTCCTATAGGATTATGTGACAAAGCTGCTCAATATTTTTTCAGTAGTTCTCTGATTGTATTCAGACTAGTACGACTGGTCATTTCTTTAGTAAAAGGGGGTTTTAGTAAATAAGAATGATTTTATATCAAGGGAGAAATATGGACATTGGGAAAAGCAATGAAGCGAAGAAAAACACGATTTCAAGTCGCAGTTTTGTTTTCTGGTGATTTATCGAATGGGCAAACATTATTACGACCTTTTAGAAGATATAAAAACTATTTTTCTACAGAGTAAATCGATAAAAAAATATCTTGTCATCTGAGAGTGACCAATATGCTCTAAGTTGTTTTTTTTAAATAACGTTCACAAGATAACGTTAATAACAAGAGCCACCCACTGGGGACGATTACTGAAGTGTGTGATATAAATGTAAGAGGAGGTAGAAAAAAGTAAATTTATTGAGGCGAAAGAAAATAATAGATAGCGACTGGCCGTTGAATTGGAGAGGTTAAGATTTTAGTGTTCAATGAAGCACCGTCGTGACGTGGCTTCCCAATGTCTTTTCTACAAATATTTTTATGCCAACTATTCTGACGTGCCGACTATATTAATTTAAGCATACAACTAGATCGGCACGCCATCCCACCTGTTTACTGCTGAAATAGCTAAATGAAAGCGCCACTTCTATTCCAACAGTCTCTTTTCTCCCGCCTGTGTTAGTCTATTCCGTTTACTTGCTTCGCTGATAAATACAATCTGCAAAAATTTAAATGCAACAACATCTATCTTCTTGAATCCCGTTACTCTTTTTTCCTTTCTTCAATCTTTTCTATACTCAGTCTTTTCACTCACCTTCTTTCCCTGGAATCTCCTACGTACAAGTGGCATTCCCGCCTTGCTTGGGGATGAAAGGATTAAAAAACAACAAGAATTAAAAGATTTATTTTTTGAAATAATGCAATATCTGCGCAGTTAAAATAAATGTCGATTTGTCCTGCGCAGTTGTAAACAAAGGGCAGACATTTTATGAAATGTCCTGATTTGCTATTATTACAATATTTACAATATTTTTTTTTAAAACAATTATTTTTGTAAACTTTGAACCGGGTCTGTAATTATAATTTTAATTAAAACACAATAATTATGCAATTCTAGTTCCCTGGCTAGTAATGTGAATTTAGAAAAAGTCCAGTAACATTTATAAAACTGTTGCCACATCGTGGAATTAACTTTACGCAATTTATGTAAAATAAGCTGCATGTTAATAGTAGAAATATTACCATGGATCGTTTCATTAGCTTTTTAAATATTAGTAAACTGGTCAATCTATTTGATTGTCCTTGAATTAACACTTCTGACTACTTCCTTCCAATAAGTTCTGTCATCCTAGGTATGACGATAAACTACATCCGCGTCCTGGGTATGACGATAAACTGCATCCGTGTCCAGGCTAAGACGATAAACTACGTCCAACAGCAAGGCCTCTGATCAAGAGGTTTTGAAGAGCGTGGAATCACCTCTTAACTGCTGGTGCTCCCAGGTCCATCCTGACCCGGGATGGTAGCAACTGTTAGCTATGGGCAAATAGTTTACCCCGAAACTGAGGTAAAATGCATTATAAAAGTGTAAAAATAGGTTTTAATACTAGAAATATTTTGTAAAAAATCATTACCAGAAATAAATTTTGGAGGAAATAAAAATATTACCAGCAATACGTTTTTGAAAAAATATTACCAGCTATACATTTTTGAGGAAAAATATTAACAGAAATAGATTTTTGACAAAACAAAAATATTACCAGAAAAAAATTTGTCGGTATTAAATGACCCATTGAGGTTGATGTGCCGTAAAACAAACCAAACCAGATTCTGTCATCTATAGCCTTACCCAGTTCCTCGTTTCGTATTTCAAAGTGTTCTGTTTTGATCAGTGAAAATAATATCTGTTTGACCGCTAGATCTTTTCCTATAATTTTGAAACACCGGTTCCCGTACGATCAGCGAAGTTAAGCAAGCTCGAGCCTGGTCACCACCTAGATGGGTGTCCGCTTTGGGAATTCCAGGTACTATAGGCTTGAATGTACATGTAGTGTAATTGATAATGGCTCGGAATTGTTAATCGTAGAGCCGAGTTCTAATTTCAGTTAGTTTCATTATATTCACTTACCCTTGAAAAACGTATGAATCTACCTTTTCTCCCCACATGGGTTAATTACTAAGACTTGTATCACTAAAACCTTTATTAAATTGCGTATAAAATATTTAGCTTTCGACATTAAATATCTCATAGCGGTTGATATACTTCCAAACTAAAACAACAATCAGTAATCTCTGTCTATAAAAGGCAGGATGTGTGTGTGTGTGTGTGTGTGTGTGTAACGAATGCACGGCCGCAATTTTCGACGGATTTGCACCAAAATTTACATGCACATGCTCCAAGTTACCGGCAAGGCCAACATCGACTTTGCATTTCCCAACTCCCATCGATAGTTGAAATAATCGATTTTTTCATGCTTCTACGGCAGTTTTCATGTAGTTTGCGGCCATTTTGTACTGGCCAGAGTGAGAGACAATAGCTGGCTGCCACGAATAGGCAGGAAGATTCTATTGGCCAGCGTGAGAGCCAACAGATGACTGACACGAATGTTAACTAGCATGATAGCATGCAAAAAAATCGATAGCTGCATTCGTCACAAGAGGGAAAAATATAAATCTGCATAACACTTTACTCCAATTGGCTCATTCGCTTGCTTAAACTCAACGTTGATTCTGATTCCGCAGAACTGGGTTAGGTGTGAAAAAGTATTTGTTGTTAACATTCTTTTTTCATTCGGTTTTTCCAGTTACGAGTCCTTTTTTAAAGCTGATCATTTTGTGTTCATTTTGTTTAGTTCTTTTTTCGTAACAGATTTAATGTTTAGTATAGAGCTTAGAAAAAATTCGCAGTGTGAGATAGGCAAGAAGTAAGGCATGTAGCAACATTAGCACGGCAAAGGGCACTCCTTTAAAGAAAAGGAAGGGCAAAAATATTTTAAGTCAAGTGATAGCGATTGCTGTATGAGTCGTACGATTTTTTTTAATCAAGCACGGTCAACGCCGGGCCATGCTGCTAGTGGCCAATAAAGTACTCATTTTTTACAGCTTGTGTCCGTAATGTTAGATTGTTTCTCATTAGAGATATATTTCCAGGGGATATTTAGTACTGTTCTAAATAGTCAAATTTATGTACTATCTCATTTTTTTCTTTTATTTATTTTGTAAATAAACTCCCTCATCTAAGGAGATTGTTTCACCTGACATAAAGCGTTGCACATTCAATCAATTTTAAGTGGTATTCATTTTGAGTAATGCTATCCTTTCTGTCACAGTTTAACACCTTTTGTGCGAGGGATTCAATGATCCTAGTTATAAAAATCATCTACGTAATTTAGATTTTAAACTTTATATGTTATAAGGTCTAATGCTAGAAAGGGGTACAAGTTAAATCTTCTCATCGGATTTATTCAAACTAGACAAAAAGTCGATTCTAAGAACCAAAAGTCTTTATGTGAACAACATAAGATAAAAACTATGAGAGATTCAGAAAAAATTACTACAGGAACTCCTAGCCAAGATATTAAAATCAAGCAAGAAGAAAGATCTATAATGTCTAAAGCTAAACTGTGCTCCATTAATCATCTGACAGACCCCTCTCTGTCTTCCATCAACATCTTTGATGCTGACCTCCAAAAAATGTCTAGAAAGATTATATTGAATCAATTGCTAGGTCAACTTCTCAGTAATTTGGTTAAATTTTTTGTCTCCAGAATTTATCTTACATATCTATAAGACTTATCATGCTTAGAATATTGTTGCCACATACAGACCGGTGGCCCTGCTATTTATCTTTAGATCCTTGATAAAACTCAAAGAAGAATAAACAATATTATTGGTCCTGATCTGGCGGCTCGGCTTAAGTCATTTTCCCACCACGGTAAGGTTGTCTCCCTGTGCATTTTCTATAAATACTTTCATGGTAATTGTCCGGATGAACTCTTCGTTATGGTGCCAAAGGATTTAAGCGCAGTAACAAACTGGCGTCACAATCTCATCAATTTAAAATTCAGCTGGCTAGATGTAGCCGAAAGTTTTATGTGCCATAAGCATTAACTTCCCTCGATTTTGAATCTTCAGGAATTATTCACATTTTGCTGTACTATATATATATATATATATATATATATATATATGACAATAAGAAGATGGAGAATGTAATTATCCATTTCGATTATAATTTATTTCATGAACTCCGAGGTGTTCAACTCTTCAAACTGAAATCTCCTCCGTAAAGGAAGAAAAATACACCCGACGGACACAGGTGTGCGTTTTGATGTATTTTCTTCACATGTGTCCGTCCGGTGTATTTTCTCCATGACTATCTCCATACATTTTGTATTGAGCTCACTTTTAAATTAATGTTATGAACGTTTGAATGTATATTCGTTTCGTTCACTTTACATTTTATATATATATATATATATATATATATATATATATATATATATATATATATATATATATATATATATATACATATATATATATATATACTGTACAATGGAACACACAATGGCCAGCTAATTGCAGAATTATCATTTTCAAACATCTGAAGACAAACAAACAATGCGTTGAACAAAAAGTTTTTTTATCGCGTGGAGACAGGAGAATTAAGTATCATTTTGATATATATATATATATATATATATATATATATATATATATGTGTGTGTGTGTGTGTGTGTGTGTGTGTGTGTATGTATGTGTGCATGTACGTAGAGAGAGAGAGAGAAAAAGAGACGATATTATATAGATAGCTAAAATCATATATATATATATATATATATATATATATATATATATATATATATATATATATATATATATATATATCATACACTGTCGTGATTTACAATAAGCAATCTCTTGTTCTCTTATCCACTAAATGTGCATCAAATATTAAAGAATAAAATTCTATGACATAACCCCATGAAGGAAGATTTGGGATTTTTCCACGATTATCCCAAACCCTCCAATTCTAGAATGTTCGATGTATCTGAATATTAATCACGAATGAATGAAGTGCATTGACAGGAATATAGATTATATATAGATTGAAAAAATAAATATTTATTATATATTTATGCACAATATTTTTCCAACATTAGCCTACATATGTTATGATTTACTCTTTTCTTTTTATGTACTGTGTCTTTTCAGGTCGTAGGCGATCATGGCTCTCCACTTCTTCCTATCCCTTGTAGCTCTCAATAAGTTTAGTCCCCTGCCACCTACCCTAAACCACGTTCTGTCATCCACTTGATTAAGCCAACAAGGTATGTCATGCGTTGCTTTCTCTTATCTCTCTTTCCCTCTATTCGACCTGTGAGTATCAGATTCTCCAGACCCTCTTTCCTCAATATGTGTCTTAGAAACTTTAGCTGCCACTTCTTGGTATTATGTATAAGCCTCTTTCTTGCGTGCAACCTCATGGTGGGAATCTTTTTATGTGCCATGTCATTCCAGGACGTGGGCAATCATGGCTCTCCACCTCTTCCTCTATCCCTTGCAGCCCTCTACAAGTTCCTTCTCTCTGATTCCTTCTCTCAGATTAGGTTCTGTCATCCACTTGCTTAAGTCTGCTAGGTATGTCATGCGTTGCTTTCCCTTGTCTCTTTTCCCCTTTATTCGACCCGTGAGTATCAGATTCTCCAGGTCATCCTTCCTCATTATGTGTCCCAGAAACTTCAGCTGCCTCTTCCTGAAATTAAGTATACGCTTCTTACTCAAGTATATATTTTAAAGAATAGAAAAATCTGTTTCATTAAAAAAACAAAATCATCGTTTGTCTAAAACAAAAAAAAAACGGATGGAACCATGCAAAATAAGGATTTACGTAAAATATGTTTTTTACACAGGGTTTTTTTTTGGTGTGGGGGGAGATTCACATGAAAACTCTCTGTTTGCTATTATCAAATTGATATTGTTAAACGATCCATAAATTTCCGAACCACCTTGAAGAATTTTGCATTGTTTGCTTCATCTCATCTCAAGATTCACACTTACCTTAAGATAAAATCATTTCAAATTAACGAATGAAATGATGAAAGCCATTCACTTCGTCATAAATCAGAAGCTAATAGCTTCGGAGTAATCAGGCATCGTCATAACGAGCGCAGTAAGGAAATTGTGTCTATAAATGGGGAAAGTGTATATGGGATAAAGCAGCAAAGTACTAACCCCAAAAGAATTATTTGTCTTTTTCTGAAAACTATATGTTTATAAAGTAGATGATTATTAAATGGTTTAAGAAAGAAGGTTGTAAAATCGAAAAGATAGATAGATAATGAAAAGGCGGCTGTGATAGATAGATATATTGAACAAACTGAGATAGATATATAAGAACTGACTGAGATAGATAGATATAAACTGATTGCTATATATATATATATATATATATATATATATATATTTATATATATAGAGAGAGAGAGAAAGAGAGAGAGAGAGCAATAAGAAGGCACAAACTGAAATAGATAAATAGAGATCGTTATGCAGACTGAAATATGATAGATAGAATGTGAAGACTGGTATATATATATATATATATATATATATATATATATATATATATATAACATATGTGAACAGATTGATGTGTATATATATATATACACACACATATGTGAACAGATTGATATATATATATATTTACACACATATACACATATATGTGAACAGATTGATATATATATATATATATATATATATATATATATATTAAGAATTGGACAAAGTCCGACAATTTATTAAAGACATTTTTATGTTTAACATTCTTTTTATAGATACAAGTATTTAAGTAAATGCTCTGTTTATAATAAACATTATTAAATAACATTTACCGGCCTGAATGTCCGAGAAATTTTCATAGAAAATATTCGTCCTTTGACAGGATTCGAACGTGCATCCTATACGGAACCGTCATTTACGCTGACGTGCCTTAACCGACTCGGCCACAAAGGAGCGTTCGGTAG